ATCACCAAGTCTTTTGTTTCAAATTTATGTCTCCCAAATTTCCATTCGCGTGGGGGATTATTGAAAAAATGGCTTTGCTGAGCTAATTTTAGCACATTTTGAGTGGAACCCATTGATTCATTTCATTAGAGATGTTATTTCAAATAAATCATTATCGCTTGAAAAAAATCCTCCTAATTTAATTCATCAAACATGGAAACTAAGGTATTGGCTCTAAGTAAGTTTAAGTCATGTCCAAAAATTGATACTAGATAATATTTATTTTTCATGTGAATTCTTGTTGCCAACATGATCAATGGAAAGTAGTTGACTTGAAGAAGCTTAAACTGACTGTGTGTTAGAACGGTGGGCATCAAGCTGGAGATGTGTTGGGCCATGATGCTAACAGGGCAACAATAAAATGGGTCTGGTCAAATCCAATTAATAATTGTCCGATAACTTCATTGCTTGGAACCTAAACCCAGATCCAATTTCTTAAGTGTTGTTTTGATGAATGTGACTTATTAAGTCTACTTCTCAACAATGACCTAAAATAGTGAGTTTTTTGGACTGTTGGATAAGATGGATGATCCTGGTTGGTAGCGAAAGTATAAAAGGAACTCTATGTTGCCCTAATCCTCACTCCATCATATACATCGTCTTCTCTCAGATTTTTCTATCTTCTATTTTCATGGTTGAGAGATTTTTCATCATTCGGTTAAGATAAACACTTCTTTGTGAGCGGTATTTAGAGAGATTCCTAAAATGTGCGTATGGTTTGTTGTTTGATACATTGGAGCGACCTCAATGAGTTGTTGGGTTCGATTTTTGGGTTTGAGATTAATATAGAAGGATACAATTTGTTTTGAGCCATAGTCTATGATGTTACAGATGCTAGTGAGATTGAAACTCAAAAGTATCTCTGCGTTTTTAGATCGTATGTTCAGAGATTTGTAATAACATTAGATTGTAATAACACCAATGAATAGAATATCATTGTTCATCTCCATGCAATGATTGGTAAAAAGTAATTAATTTCGGATTAATAGCAAAAAACCTCACTAGAAATGTTTCCATATGCAATATATCCCATACGTATTGAAAACCGCAAAAAAAAAAAAAAAATCCCTATTTAAAATCTTTTGTGCGAAAAAATCCATACTGTCAAATTTGTTGTTAAAAATAGTAAAAATGCCAAAATTAAAAAGTAATAATTGCAATTTTAGCATCTAAACTTTTTATTTTTTTATAAATAATACCTAATTTTTTTATGATCCACCTACAATCCCAAATCTTAAAAACTTTATTTTCCACCCTGCTTCATCTTCTTCTCCAAAAATTTATTATTTTATTTAATATCTTCCAAAACCTTCCTAAATCAATCACCCCAAATTCTTCATTTATTCTTCTCATTCCCAAGATTACACTTCAAAACCCTCTTCCCCATCCTAAATCCATTGGTTATTGATGACATTCTTGAACTGAAATTTTCCAGATGAAGGCGTACAAAAGAACTCAACTGCACTGTCAAATCCTAGCAAAAAAGTGAGGACTTCACCTCTTGATGTCTCTGGTGGACTTGGTTTCCTAAATTTTTTGCAAGCGCTAGCTTAATGAATCCATTAGGAAAAGAAAAATGGAAGTACTGAAAATAAGAAAAAGAAAAAGATGAAGTGGGATGAGATGAGATGGCTTGTGCTAAAAATTACAAAGCTTTTGAGGATCAGTTGAAGAGAGCCCCTAGTCACGACTTCTACTCCGTTGAAACAGTGGAACCCTCATTGCTGATGTTAGTTTGATGCCCTTTTTGTAGTAAGGATATTGTAACGACATTATGAATTAACGTTCAATTATTCGCGTGTTAGAATTTACGATAATAATCTTAGGTTCCATGATCATATAAAATATAACAAATTGTATACTCGACGGTGTGGGTATAGTGAGAGACAATTCGTTATATGATCAAAATATGTGGGTCACAATCGGTACACGAAGTTGGATACTTTATGTTGATAAGATTGCATTATTTTTATTAAGATTTGTATAGATCTGGGAATAAGAACAATAACGTGTTTTGAAACACATTGTACGGGACCGCGTGGATAACTCATTTGTGACCGCTCGAAATGAGATACTACTCGATTATCGAACAAGTCACCAAATCATGAGCAAGTAATGTACCTATAATTACTAGTTCAAATTCTTTGAAGTACCAATGAGTAAAGTCTTAATTAGAAGATCAAACTCAGTGCTTTGGGAATCTGGGCGAAGCAATTAGAGATCATATACATGCAATAGTAGAATCTATTAATCTTGATGAGATGATCATCACTTTAAGATATTTTCTAAAGGGAATTAAACTTGAGCTTAGTAGTCCGACGATGGGATCATTGGACTTGGTGTTGTGACGTGATCACAACGATTTCTCCTTATGAAATGGGACTTAGAGGGTAATACATGTTGAAAGGCAAAAATGTCATTTTGTCGACTTCAACATATTGACGGTCAAACGGGGGTTGACTTGTGGAATGGTGGTCGAAGGATATTGTTATAGAATCATAATTGGATTACATAACTATAACTTGACTCAAGAGTGCAATCCCCATTTTTTTGTAGAGTAAGCCGTGAATACTAGATGTATCTCAATTGGTCNTGTTATAAATATGCCATTTAAGGGCACATTTGGTAAGGATTAGGGGTTTAGCCATTTTCCATTTCCCAAAAGAAATGAGAGGCATCTAAAGAGCACAAAGGAGAAGATCTAACGGAGGAAACATTTGGCTAGGTCATTAAAACTCATTCATGGTTAACATCTCACCTTTATGTGTGATGATTTAAATAAAAACATCATATGATCTCAAGATAATTTAAGATCCACCATGCATTTGGGTTTAATTTTCAAAGGAAAATTAATTTTATATTGTGATGATTAAATTTCCACATCCAACAATTGAACCCAAGTACGGGCTTTAAACTGAAGCCTAATCACACTGAAAACGATGATATTAGATTGGAATTGACTATGGGGTTCAATCCAGTGCTATGCAATCATATGTTCACAGTAATAGAGCTATCCGATGGTGAAGTCTGATAAGATAAAAATCAAAGTTTTGGCTGCTTCAAACTAGTCTTTGCTCTTTAGGGCATAATGTCCTTTTTCCATTTTTCTTTTCCTAATGTTAGAGCTTATTTCGGTACTTCCATTTCTATATTTCTTTTTCTTTTATTGAAATATAGAAGTATTGAAAATAAGGAATGTGGGGGCAAGGGATTTGTGAGGGTTTTGGAAGGGATTAAATAAAATAAACTTTTGGGGAAGAAGATAAAGTGGGGTGACGTGGAAAATAAAGTTTTAAAAGATTAGGATTGTGGGTGGTACATAAAAAAAAAATTGGGTATAATCTGTAAAAGAATAAAAAGTTCAGATACTAAAATTGCAATTATTACTTTTTAATTTTGGTATTTTTACTGTTTTTAACAGGAAATTTGACGGTATGTGGGTTTTTCTCACAAAAGGATTCTAATAGAGGGGTTTTTGCGATTTCCAATAATATGGGGTATATCGCAGATGGAAATGTTTCTAGGATGTTTTCTGCTATTAATTCAATTAATTTCTTCTATCATCTATTTTCGATCATTTTCTATCTACAAGTGCCTTGGATTTTGTTCTTTCCTTTTCGCACTGAACTTCTCTGATGCCACAGCTTGAAGTACATACCAATTCTGCCTTTTGAATTTTAAGAGGTTTTCCGTAAAAGTGTATACTAATTCATACTAAGATATAGAACCCAATTCTTCATTTGGAAAAAGAGTTTAACCAGTTAAAAAAAGTAGAAAAAATATAGTAAAAAATTATTCCGAGGTTTCCCTATTTAACTTCCTTTGCATTGATTTTCTTAATTTTGACATTTTCTCGACTCCTTACTGTTTTGTCAAATGGTTTGTCAAAGCATCCAAATTATCTGGAAGATCGGATAACGACATCAAGATTCACTGGAACTTGCATTTAAGGAAACAGGTTGACATTGTAGGCTACTGCCAGCCTTCCCAATCAAGTGGTAGAGTGGGAACATGTTCGACTAGATGCCGAGGCTCGTTTGTCTAAAAATCAAGTGCTTCCCAATCCATCATCTGGGGCTAATTCTGAGGGCGACAATTTCCTCCGTGTGTGTTCTGAAGTTGAGAAAACGTTTCAAAACATTAATGCAAGCATTGGTTAATGCAGTGGAAAAACTACTTGCAGCCCTGCATCTCAGACATCATCTTTGACAAAATTTGGTTCGAGTTCGGGAGTTATAATGAATGCTGAACCTTGTAAAAACAACAGATTCGCTATAATGTCAGACCACAACACACGGGAAAAACAAGCAGTCATAAGGAAGTCATATTCCCTCTAATGAAATGTTGAATATATTGCTAGATTTCTCGACTACTGAGAATGATTTAGGATTCCTATGAGGACTGACTGGGAATGTTATACACCAAAGAAGATAGTCCATTCGAAGTCTATTACCTCCTCGATTTACCTAATAGCTTTCTTGAACTTTTAGTAGAGGAACTGAAATACAGCTTTGACAGATTTGTTTTGGATGATGCTTCATTTTGGTAGAAGATAGCTCTACTACTTTCTTATATTTTCCTTGATAGATTTACTTAAATGATTTGGACACAAATAATAGCTCATTCTATTCCAAGAAATTGTCTTAAAAACATAATGCAGACATAGTATTCGAGAGCGTTACACATACGACAATGGACAAAATTCTATCGAGTACCGTTAATGTGTGGGGAGTTATCATCTTATATTTGCATCTTAGCATTTTAAATACTGCAAAACAAATTCCTTACAAACTTTGGGTTTTTATTTTTCTCACAAAGCCAATATCTACAAACAAATACCAACAGTTACGCATACAATAATAACAACCAATCAATTCTTCACCAAATGAAAACACTTATTTTCAAACCTATAAATTTACAAATGCAACTTCTGTTTCAAATCAAACCAGATAATTTCAGCTTCAAAACCATCCTAGTAATTTCTTTGGGGAAGTTCCTGTGGCACGGTATTTTGCAGCCATTTCCTCTGCCTTGAGAAGATCTTCACCCCGTTTGGCTTCGATAATTGCCTTCTTCTCTTCTGCTGCCTTGTGAATGAGAGCAACCTTGTTCTTCATTTTCTCTACATACTCTGCTTTCTTTTTCTCCAGTTGTTCCTACAGGATTTAGGCATTAAGATTAGATGAAAATAACGATAAAATCTACAAATTCTGATCATTAAAATTTCAGAACAGAAGAAAACTAGGTAAAGCCTTGGGATTTGTTTACCTCAATCTTCTTGAGCTCAGCCTCTAGACTTGCTTTCTTGCTGTTTTCCCATGCTCCAATGGCAGATATCTTTTTCTGAGATCTGCCAATAATTTCAGATTTCTTGATTTAGTAACGACTCATCAATATTATCCCGTTAATCTTTGGGGCAGATACGTATGGAATTTGAATAACTTTCTACGAGAGTAGTGAACTCATTTTGACCAGAATTAGGATAACCTTCTACTAAAAGGGTAGAAAATGAAGTCTCTTTGCTAGACACGTTCCCTTGAAGGTGGGTTCTTGAGTTGTGGCTATTTGTCATTGTTCGACTAACATAACATCCACACACACCGAGCAAACTCATGTGATCGAGATTGTGAATATCATGGAGTTACCGTGGGATGTTGGACTTGTGAAGATTGTGAATAAGACCGAGTACCAAAATAAACATTTTTGACAATTCCAAAGAAAGCAATAAAAATCCGGACTTACATTAGATTCATAATCATACATGTTTCTATTGTAATATGTGACACATATAGAGTAGAACACATGTTTACTAGACTAAATAAACAAATGCTAAAGTGGAGCGCACCGCACAGAATGAGCGAAGCAACGGTATCAGCCTCTCGGGCTAGTAATTTATTGTTTATCAAAGACACTTAATGGGGTGGCGTGGGGGGGGGGGCGTTGTATGGTACATGGTTATTTTTGGATTTTTAGTATATATATATATGATGTAACCTATTATTCATACATAATAGGGACCATAGCCGCTTCGCTCTCCCATGGACGTAAGCCAATCACATAAATCTCTATTCGTTTTCTATTTTCGTTGGCTACATATTATTCATCACTGTTATTGCACAAATCACAACAGTTTCTTCACAAACCAAAATGATTCATTTTCAAAACTCGTTTCGGTTGGATAAATTTGAAAAACAAACTTAAAACTCAGAAAATCATTGGCAAGAACAGAGCATGCTCAAGAAAACACTCACTTGTTTTCAGCTTTTGATTTCTCACTTTCTTCCCATGCTTTAACCAAAGACAATCTCTTCTCCGTAGAAACTCGAGTAAGCACAGCATCTGATGACATATTAAAAGAAAGAATTAAGTATTTTCCTGATACATGTACTCGTAACATGTTTTCCCGCTCTTAAAAAAGCCAAGTTTTCTCCTGCGACCCAAATAAGCACATAGTAGGTCAAACTTGCTATAAGATAAAGGAGAAAAACACAACTCGTCGCAATCTTAATTACCTCTGTCAATAGGGCCCTCAGGCTTTTTCTCCTCAACAGGTTCTGGTTCTTTATAAGAGCCCTCAGGCTTTTTCTCCTCAACAGGTTCTGGTTCTTTATACAGAAGGAAGAAGAAAAAGTCACAAACAATTGATAAAAAATTGCCAATAATTAACTTATCCATGGAAAATTTCCAAGTTGAGACATATCAATAGGTAAAATTCCATCTTCAAATAGATAAACACGAAAATAATCTGAAAAAAAAAAAAAATACATAGAAAGAGAGGTGGGTAGAGTAGTAACTACTTTCAACAACATCAAGAGCTTTACAGTCATCAGCAGCTGGTTTCTCTTCTGGCGGAGGAAGTGGAATCACAGATTTCTCCTCCGGAGAAGCTTCAACAGCTTCCTCTTTCGCCGGAGGAGACGGTGGTGGAGCCTCAGAACATGGCTCAGTCCCCACTTTCTTGACTTCCTCCTCCGCCATCACCTCAGAAAACTTAGCTATATTGTTTACTTCAAAAGATACTACAAGAATATCAAGAATAGTCGAATTACTTAAATATATAAATGAGCAGAGCAGTCAGCAGTGGAAGATTTTGTGAGAGATATTCCGAGCGTTTTATTCGTGGGGTTGGGCAGATATTAGTGTCAGCAATTGGTTGGATGATCAGTTGGATGATTAATTAGTACAAGTATATAATAGTGTGACAGTCGGCACAGATTTTCTATATCTGAGAATTTAAATTTTTAAGGAATTAAAAGATAATAACCAACAATTCATAATTCTTGTCGGCTTTGGAATCATAATTCATTTGATCTCACTTGTAGGATTCAACTTTAATCATTTCATTTGAAAAATCAATTAGTGTGAAGAGGGTAGTTTTCTTTTTACAGCTTTCGGTCATCATTTAATTCATGAATTTTATATCGAGAAATTTCTTCTAATTTCTTCCTACTCAGGTTAAAAATGACATTCTAGACAATGAGACGCTCACTCGATGAATACTCAATTTGACCTCAACCTCAACTCGATCAGATGTTAATTTGTCTATGTACATGCATGCAAAAATTCTTAAGTTGAATTTGAATAAAACAGATTTTAAAAGAGTATTTTTCGACTTTCGTATCATTTTCATCGAATCGTAAAAAAGTTCTTGAAGAAATATTTTCAAGAAAATGTGAAAATTGTAGTTGAATGGATCCATATATTAAATAGAGAGAGCCGTTGAGCTGAAAGATTTGAGATGGCGTTTTCTCTCTAAAATTGAGAAAGAAAAGTGGTCCATTAATGCTTCTTTTTTAGACCGTTTCATGTTACTTTTCCTTTTACCTTTGAAAAGCACTCATTTACAGTGTCATAAAAAATAATAATCCGATGATTCACGCATTAAAATATAATCGGTAAGGGTCCTCATCAACAAGATAATTTTTTTTTTTTTTCAGAACACAATAATTTACCGTGATTTGCAAGCTTTGATGTGATTTATCAATCTCAAAGAGTCGAATTGCTTTAGCTTTACTTAATTCTAACATTGGATAAAAATAAAACTAAATTATAATAAGATTTCAAAGTGAATACGAAATATATTTATCGTGCAGTTAAAATTGATCGCGATTAAGAGTTTCGAATTAAAAGGTGAATTGAATTATTACAGCTGTAATATGGAGATATTGTGTTTCTATTAGTTAAAGATAGACTATCGTACACCAAAGACGAAAAGAACATGAAGTAATAGACAAATGTGATATTTTAGCTAGAAGACAGGTGTAGATTGATGGGTGAAAGATCCCATGTGGGAATCAAGATTAAAATATCCTCTTTAATAGCGAAAATGCCATCAAATATGAGCTGTTGTGTTTGGTTTTGGCAGCCAACAAAAAGAAAAATGACAAGTTGAATTTCAATTATTTTGACCAAAGGGTCCACTTAAAAGCGTGCAATTCAAGAATTTTGGTTGAAATCATGCTTCAAACTCAGATTCCACAACCAGGCAGCCAGACACTTGGCATGGATTTTGATTTTCTACTGTAAATCAATTCTCATTTTCAACCACACATTTTTCAATAAAATAATATTTTCCATCACATCAATAATTTTTTCTTCTTTTTCAACCATACATTTCCCATCAAATCACTATTCAAAAATCAATTCATCCCCCAAAAATTNCCCCCAAAAATCTCTACCAAACACACTCTTAAATGGCACTATATTATTAAAACAGATCAGATTAGCTAGAAACATAGTGTCCTACTTCAGCATATTTTGTATGGCCTACACTAAAGATTATATTCCTAAACTGGGATTCGGATATGATCGACGTCATCAAGAATTTCCTATACGAAGGGTTTATCCAAACTATTTTCAGATAACGGAAGGAAATAGAAAGAGAGAGGCAGAGAATGAGGGATCGGGCAAACAAAGCGATTTAAAGCACAAAACGCGCAAAGGTACTTCTTTGTGGTTACAGTTCTGAATAAAATAGAAAAGACTCTTAGGATGCGTGTAGTACAGTACAAGAATGGAGCAAATAAAGCACATGCAATTTTCCTTGAACAATTAAAGCATACTAATGCACCTTGGTAAGAAACAATGTTACCTTGCAAATCCAGCTCAAAAATATTATCAGACAGACAATTCGATTTTGGAAATCAGAATACAATCGATATCCACATAAAGCCCTTCTCATCAGATATTCTCTCCAATCCCCTTTTTATTAGCTTTCATTGGATATGAATCTAGCTTTCTCACTCCAATGTTACGACCATAGATTTCATCCACATCCTGTTACGATTGGTCCACATAACTCTTGGCGCCTTCCATATATCTGGAAAACTGTCTGGAGGGCCCGGAGCTCACCACTCGCGTTAAGCTGTGGATTTGCATCACAAACTTCAGCAGTAGTAACAAGGGCCGTCCTAGATCAAGAAGCTTCAGACGAAACAAAATGTTTTAGAATATTGCATGATACATCTTAGCTGGAAGATAATATTTGATGACGAGAAACATGCTTGCCCAGGTGATAATGGCAATGTATAAACAATGATTATGATCAAGAGAGAGGGAGAGGGAGAGTACACAGCGTCCTGATTGGAGGCCAAAAGCAGCAGTAAGCAATGAGTTCAAAGCTTCTGCAAGATTCTTGAAATTTCAATGCCTTAAATTAAACTGCATTGTCTTTATTCGTTAAGAAAGCTTTGTCCTCCAAAAAAGTTCACAATATATTAGTACCTACTTGCATTGATGATTCTTGATATACCCTGGGAAATTGGAGATGAAAGAAGCTTACCACGTTACTTGTAGCTACAACATTTGGCTGAGGGGATAAAAATAAGCATCCTTTTTCAATTAATGTTTGTGAAATAGATTCACCAACAATGAGACAAACACTTAACAATCTCTTGAACAATTTTGGCAAATATGTGATCGTGCAAACTTCTTGCTATAGTGTAATCAACGCTAACATCTTCTTTTGAAAGTATGAGAACTTTTATCACTCCAGATCAGCTTACTTTGCCCTCCATTTCCATTTGTTGCAAAAGATAGCGTCTGCAGTTGATCAAATAAAGATCAGGATGCAATAGGAAAATATTGTACAACATAGAAGTTCAGTTAACGCACCCGACTTGCTCTCTTATCGATTGGAGTCAGTGATGAATGGCAGGAAGCTGAACCCTTCTTGTTCTTTGATGAATTTGATTGTTGTGAAGATCTCTTTTGTCTCTTTTCTTCAACTATTTTCTCTGAGGCACTACCTCCTTGGTACTTATAAAATTCAAGAATAGATGGACTCTTCCTTTTAGTAACCTTTGAAGCATTCCTAGAGTAATTAAACCGAGGGGAGGATAAGTTGCATGGAGGAGACTGCTGTCGCAATCTACTCTTTTCCCTGATTCTGTTTAGAAACTCAATCGTCCAGGGCGATCCTTGTTGAGGCTCAGTGGAGCGAAGAGCATTAGAGAGCGGTGTTCCACCATAGTTTCGAGGACCCTTTTCTTGGAAAGATATTTTGTAGGAATTTTGTGAGTTTGTTTCTGTCACATCATCGTGAAAGAGCCTTTTCTGGCACTTCAATGAAATTTTGTTATTTTCAACTGCATCAAAACGTTCCCCAATTTCTCCCCTTGAACTTTGTCTACTGTCCCTAATAGAAACCCAGGCACCTGAGGCAGAATCAATTTCAACAGGATCTGTAAAAACAGGAACTTTGGTTACTCCTGAAGGTGGTTTACACAATCTTGCTGCATAATCTTTCTCCCCATCAAGCATAAATGGTGAACAGTCAATGTAATTCCTAAATGTTGGAGTATCATCAATGTCAATAACTTCACCAATCAAATTTTCCTGTAGATATCCACATGCCTCGGTATTTTTTCTACTAAAGTTGATCGTTGTAGATTTACCTGATCTGCTTCTTGGATCATAATTTACACCAATCTCAGCCATTGTGGGCTTCTCTATCTCAGCTAATATTTCAAGATCTTTTGCATTTGGAAAATCATGAAATTTTGACACGGTGGATGATTTCATCATTGTATCGACATCTAATCCCTGGCTATTACGAAACAGTTTGTCATCAAAAGATAAACTGGACTTCCCGGACTCATCAAATTTCTCGGTACTTCCTGACAACCAAGAATCACGTGAAGTCGATGCTTTGGGAGGATGGAGTAAGTCGTCTGAAAATAGCTTTAATGGATCCATATGAAACAAGTCATTTGGAGGCTCACTGGCATCATAAAGATTGCGAGTATATTTTAGTTTCTTCCTATCAGACGCACTCCTGAATTGAGCAGTCTCGGAGTCGGGAGCTGAAGATACTGAAGAGGAACAGTCTGTCATTCCAGATTTCGAATCCTCCCGCACTCCGTATCTGCTTGTTGCATTTAGCAAAGCAATGCTTTCATCGGGAACGTTAAATTTTTGAAGAGCACGAGTTCTATCCTTATCTGACAAATCTAGAAACTCAACTAGTGTGCTCCCTGAAGACAGTATACCATGAGCTGAGAGAGGATTAATTGAAGGAAATGCAGTGAGGAAGGATTCCGCTAGACTTTCTGAGTCGGACATTTTAGGGCATAATCCCCTATGTGACTTTGTCCCAACCTCAATGCAGGATAATATAATTTCGTTCGTCATATCGGACGAAAATGAGAAGAAGAGCTGTATATCGATTCCTAAGCTAGCTGCTGCAGCATAGAGTTCATCTGATGATTCCATAATTCCAGATAGAAAACTGCCTTCTCCCTCAAAAATCTGGAGGAGAAAAAATAACAAAGATTAAAACGCCTAAAGAAACTTATGTTAGTACAAGCATGGTGAAGGTTTAGTCCATTGAAATCACAATGATACACAGTAGACTAAAGTTGCTACCAGAAACTGTGAATCTTCTATTGTATTTTCTCTGTCTGAAACTGTCAACTGAGGTTTTCACTAGAAAACATTATTCTCAGAGAATAAATTATTACCATCTCTTATAAAAGTGGTCTAATGAAGTATAAGCTAACTTGATATGCTAATAAATAGCCGCATGATGATTATTATTCCCTTTCTATTGCTTGATATCCTTGTGCAATCTAAAAGAATAAGGTTTGCATGTTGTATAAAAACGGACCAGTTGATAGCTCTACACGTCTGGTTTCTATTGAACATTTTTTACATTCCAGAAGGTGAACATTTTGAGTCTCTTCCTCATATCAATGAGATAATGAAAAATCGTATCAAAGTAAATACAGCAAAGAAGAATTAGTCCAAACTATCAAGCAATAATATTACCAGGATGCAGCAACTAAAAGCAAAACTCAGTGACGTTAAAGTACTTTCTGCAATACTTTCAATGCACAAAGGCAAGCATGAAAAGGCCTCATCTGGAGCAGAAGCTTTCTTTCCAATGTTTCTGCAGTCATACCACGCCAAGCAAGTGGCAGCACTAACTATAATATCAACAGGTAGATCTATATCGCGTTCTACAACTTGTGCTCCTTCTTTCTCTAGTGCCAGGATCCTCTGGTATGTTCTTCTCCGAGATATGACCATTTCTTTGTCGAAATTTTGGGTGTTCACAATTATGACAATATCGTGAGGAAAGGGCTTGCCCAAGTTAATTTCTTTTGATTCCATAGCCACTGGCAAGGATTTAACAGGCATCACTGAGCAGACCTCATCTTCATTTACATCTTTGACTAGTCCCTTGTTGTAGGTCTCCTCAATAGGTACAAAGTTTAATAGGTCTTCCAACTTATTTTTACTCTCATTTTGAGCTGAGGTAGAATGAATACCTGCATCCTGGAAACATGATAAAACTATGAAACGTGACTGCAAAACAATACAAAGCAAGTGAAGTGTGACTATGACTGACCATAAAATGACACTTGAGATAAAAATTAGTAGCATTATGAAAATTATCACATAAAATTAATTGAAGCTATTTCTTTTGAGGAAATTCAACAATGACGTTCAATAAAAATGAATTATGAGTGGATAGAAGAAATCCTGGTGTAGAAGTCAAATCATGGAATACATGTGCTGTTGTGCATGTCCACAAAAATGATCCAGACCAAATTATGAAGTATGGACTATTATCCTTAAAGAACTAACAATTCAGTATGATCACCTTTCTCGTATCAGTAGAACCTTCATTATATCTTGCAAGTGATCGAGTTACCAAATTTCTCCTTGTTCGTTAAAGAATTATCCTACCAACAGGAAAAGGACATAACTGGATTTATTTTCCTTCTTTCTTTTCTCCCTTCCTTTTATTTTTATATATTTACTTTTAGCTGGGGGGAAAAGAAGTTAGATTCAACTACAGCTTCTACAACTCTTATGACACACCAATAATGCATACCTAGTCGTCCAAGGAGCATTATAGTTTTGAAAAGATGGTTTGTACAGTAACTTTGCAATGGCATTATATTTCATCAAAAATCATTGAGAAAAGGGTAGGAAGACCTGTTACAGTTGAGTAGATCATCCATAACTAAGAAGGCATTATTTACATTAATATAGAAACAAGCCTTAACATAAAAAGTGTATATGAATCCACATGCATTCTACCAATTCAAAACCTAAATGACATTATAAAATCAATAAGCATGCACATAGCACAGCCCTTCTCGTTGCATGTTTTGCATCAAGAAAGTACGAAATAATTTCAATGTAACCATTTGAACATGATACCATTCATGTATGAAAGTGATTCTTTCTTGAGAAGTCAGGCCCTTTTGACACTTATACCATAGTCTTTGCAGATAGAAAAATACATCAAAGCATGCCTTATGCCTGAAGCATAATATGAGTGCATCTTAACCATGAGATATATATTGAAAGTACAGGAGTTTATATACATATTGCATTTATTTCAGTATATACCAATGCCTATGTTTCTGAGGACAATATGGATGAAAAAATAGCCATGTTGCTAACAGTCAACAGTCAAATGCAACAGTATTACTCGAACAGAAAAGATACTTGCCATCTTAAATTCACTATTCTTGGATATGTAAGCGCCACAGGAAAGCGCTTTGGAAACACTCGAGTCCTCCAATTCCACCTTGAGAAAATAAAGAGGGGGCAACTGATCTAACTTTGGGCAGATGGTGGATATTATAGACGATCCATTTGAGCCTCCATATTCCAAGACAAAGCCAAATTCGTGGAAGGGGAATGATGCAGAAACATATCTGGAGACCAAAAAAGAAAAGAAAATCTTTATCTAATGGCTTTAAGATGGTCCAAGGGCAGTCTGCCGCCGAGGGAAAATCTATACAGATAATAAAATGAGGAAAAAAAATGGACAACAGAGTGACTCTTCAATAAACAAACTTACATTATTATACGTGTTTCCAAATATATAATTATTTAAATCCCTATCATAGAGAAATTAAATATTCACTTGATTTGAACTTAAGGACTCACGCTTGGAATTAAACATTCTACTTTGCTAATCTCCTAATTAGGTTTTCACTTCATATTAGCATGAAGCAAAGAAAAGTGTCTGTCTCGTGCATGAATCGCATTTCATAAGCCATCATTTACTGAAACTGCAAGATCGAATAGGTGAATGCACGTTGGAGAAATTTCATGACAATTCAACATCAATTCACCATTACATGTTTGTAGTTAGTCAATCTTCAAGAATCAAGAGAGCATGTGAGAAAAATTTCATGAGAAGGCAGTAATTAATGGGATTCCTATTAATGACCTCTAGTGACATATCTCGAGATCAAGCTGGAAAAGAAAGAACCCCTTAGTTTCTCAGAAACATTACTTCACAGAATCAACCGGGAAAGGTTTCACGCCATTAGGTGAAGAAAAAATTGTCATGTTAAATATTTCCATCAAATTTTGTTCTAAAGCAGCTAATACTTACTCATAGGATACCAAACAAGAATCCGTGGAAAGCATAGAATTTAGTATGGTGTTTGTGAACTCACGGCCCTGTTGACTTGCATGGGCAGAAAAATGGTGTAGCTCATTACATGAAATCTTCATGGATGTCAACAGTCTCTTCAATGGCCACCAGAAAACTCGGTCAGCAACAATTAATATTTTCAAACTACCGCTGCTTAAATTTGTCTGCAAAATTTCATGCACAACAGAAAGGGAAGGATGGTTTTCACATATTTCTTTCTCAGCCCTCTCATTCGCATTTTTTATCAAGTTATACAGACAACTTAATCTGGATTTCAAGCACTGCAGGTTTCTGCACAACCTGTCTACATATAGATATGTGGCGTGGATTCCATAGTAACAGAGGTAGAAAGCCATCTGTTTAATTGCACATAACATCATCAACAACATAATATTATCATCGTTGTGAGCTGAATAAGTACTTGGTGCACTTCTTTTCTTAAGAAGGTCCATAAGTTCTTCTTTAGGAAGCCAAAGTACGGTCAGGTCCTCACCAACTTGACCTAGACTCTGACTCTGTCTCAACTCTGTGTCGTTCTCCAGTAGGGCCAAGAAGACTTTACAAAAATTATCAATGAGCAATAGAATATTTTCAGATAACTGTACTCGGTGCAACCTGACATTCCACTGCTGTTGAACCATAGTGGTAGCATTACTAACAGAATCATCATTGGAAAAAATCAGTGGATACGTTGTAATAATATCAACTGACTTATCTGCAGGCTTACTTTCTTTTCCTGTGACATAATTACGGGGATTTAAGAAAAATTCAAGATCGCTAGACATGGATTCAACAAACGAAGGAACTCTCTCAATGCCGGTTTCCAGTAACAAGTCTCCGTTTAACCTTTTTCTGTCTCCATGATTATGCCAACTGTCAGAATTTTTTTCATCAACAGAAGTATGAAACATAGAAACAACAGCAGAAGGTAAGTTCAGCATTTCCTTGCAGTCTTCTGTGTTTGGTTTGTCAGAACAATCCATAGAGAGAATAAAATCATAGATCTGTTTCGTACTATCCATCAAGTAATTAGAAGCATCTATCTTGTAAGTATCTATCTCCCACGGCATTTCCCTAAAAGAAGAATATTTACCGAAGTTGTCTTCTTCAAGAAAATGCCAATCTAAATATAGACCATCAGATGTTGATGAAGACTGTGACTCCACCTGGGCTAATATTTGCTCAATCATTAAATGCAATGACCTAATATTTTCATGGCCAGAAATAATAGGCACGGGTAATGATTTGAAAGAGTCATCCATAAGAGTAAGTTCGTGACAAACAATCAATTCACCAAAATTCATAAAGTTCATATTTTCTCCAAACATGAATTCACATGGTTCTTCTTCAACCTCTTTGGCTGCATCTGAGAAGAACTCACAAGAATAAGATGGATCCTGATCAAAGAATTGGAACTCTTCAAATAGACACAGGTTCACTGATCCAATTATATCGCCACCTGCTTTCCCTTGATGGAATGTTGAGTACTCCTCATAATGTGGTTGTTCTACAACACTTAAGTAGTCCATTTGTGATGAGAAATTTGAGCAGTGCAACTCAACTTCAGGGCACTGTACTGCTAAACAATGCTCTGATAGATATTTATTTAAGTCAAACTCTACAGAACTCAAAAGCTCCTTGCCGTCACTCAATACTACATCTAGTTCTGTCAAATGCTGAGGTTCAATATTTTCAAAATCTAGAAGCTCATCCTCCATATGTATACTTCTGACAATACCCAGACTTTCCTCGTCCACTTCAAAAGGGGGAAAGTGAATATTATGAAGATGAAGCTCTCCTTCAAAGGAACCAACATCTTCCAAAAAATCAGCCTTCTGTTTCATAGAGTATTCTAAGCTGATGTCGTCGACTGAATAAACTGATTGTTGAATCTCAAGAAGATTAGGTAAACTGAGGTCAGAAGTGGGCATATCCTGCAAGAAGTTACAAATTCATTTTCAAATTAACTAGTGATATCTTTATTCTTACACTGGATAAGAAGTGTGTTATCAGTACTTCGAGATGAAGGTAGAAATGTTATCCAGTTTGTGTACATATCTAAAGCATTTAAGCCCTATGAGCAACAACAATGCCGGTAGAATAGTTGTGTGGACGCAATTCTCAAGGAGTAAAAAAATACTTGAGCACTTTTTGAAGATAATTTATGGTTCCACAACAAGTTGGAGAAACCAAGTCAAAAGAAAAGGGTGCCTTAAACTTTTTGAATGACATACAGTTCGATCAAGTTGTTCTCTGCATAAATCTCTCTCTTATCAGGAACTTCATCCGTATTTAGATCCTTTTCATTCCAACCAAGAATTATATCCCCAGCTACTAAACCATTAGCATTTGAAAGAGCCAAATCAAAGAGTTGAACGGTGGATTGGGAAAAAGGAAAAATTGTTCCCATTCTAGCTGCACTTCCACTGCTCAACAAAGGGTGCTGGGAACTATCCTGAACAGAATTTAATACCTATGCCTGGAGATGTAAACAAAAACTTCAAAGCATTTACCATAGTACACTCAGCAACTGAACTCTGGGAGAGAATATCCAAGTCCTCCACCTGGGATTGGATAGCACTTTCCTGCTGATTACAAAGTAAGTGTAAATAAGTAGAAATAGTTATATGGCCATATGCAGATACCAAAACGTCAACCTGTATGCAAACACTTAAAAGGACAATACCAATTGAAGCAGGGAGAGGTCCATCTCTGGAATTTCAAATTGTGTAATTTCAATAATACTCCTACCCCCATGATCAGGTGTAAAATCATCCTGTTCCAAAATAACATGAATACAGTGTGATTAATATCCTGAACCAAACAAAGTTGTAATAAGATGATAGCTTTATATACTTCAGGTACAAGAGCTAATATGTTTTTATACTTAAACATCAATGTTTAAATACCCAAATTATCGAGCACATTTTTTGTAACGAATATCTGAGTTCTTACGCTGGCCAAGACAGCCATAAATAAAGAGTGAGGAAGTGAGAAACATCATGGTAATTCAACATGATTTTCTTTTTATTATTTACACTGTCAGATAAAATGTTTACAAGGACATAAAATTTATCTCTATATGAAAAATTTTAAGTGTAATTTGTAGTAATCTGTATCTGGACGTTTGTCATATTCCCTTGGCACATGGAGTCATCAAGAGATGATTTTTCACAAATTCTGAATAGTTTAATGAACAATCTATCGTGACTCATGAGATTAGTAAAGCCTTTGTAGAGTAAAGTGAAAAAAAAAATGCTACTAAATTAAACTTGAGTCACAGTTATAGACCTTAAAAAAATTTGTAGGAAGAAGGCGCAATACACTAATTTCCATAATTTTAATACTAACAAAGTCAAAGAGGTTTTTTCAGAACTAATTACTTAAATGACATAAAATTGGAAATCCAAAACTGAATTTGGTGACTAATAAATCCAAAAAGCATTCTAGATTGAATAAAATTTAACAGGCATTTCTTCAAAACCATGACAATACAAATAAAAATCTTTTCATTGTTAAATATAACTATCTCAAAAATGAATCCATGGAATACAAATCCTGAAATCAGATCTCAGTATTCCAATGGTTATGCACGCGTCTTTCCACCAGGATGACATGTTGACACAAGCCTAAAGCAAAAAAAAAAAATGGAGAAAAAAATAGTTCAATCGCCTGCATAATCTCTATCTCCAAACCTATAACACTTCAAAAACTCACATCACCATCAATTTTTACTTGTGATGTCTAAAATCATCAGAACGGGAAATAAAACTCACAAAACTTTCGATAATAAAATCGAAAATCAGGAGCTCAAACCTTAATAATTTAATTTACCTCGGAAATTAAAACCGTACGATTTCCTTTCGTACTACCGATCTCATGTCCCGAGAAATTAACTTCATCAATGACATGAGGAAGGACGTCGGAAAATAACTTGGAGCGAGCGTGATCGATAGGAAGCTTTTCGATTTCGCAAGTAATGCTGAAAACGGGAATGTCATGGAAGGAGTGGAGAAAATGTTGGGAGAATGAGAGATTATTTGGCGGCGGGAGGTGAGGGAGAGGGAGGCGGATGAAGTCTAAGGTCTGAACAGAGCCGCCGGCGGTGAAGTAGTCGGCGGCGAGGAATCGGTTTCGCATCGCACGTCACGTTTGCTGTGTGAGAGGTTTTTGAAAGTTTTAACGGGTGGATTTTGCGTTCACGTGCTTCGCGC